GGCATTTAGCACCACGGTAAGTTTTATAATTTTGCTTCAACATGAATTTACTGTCTTCAGTTTTGCAGCTCAGAATCTGAACTGGGTCTCACTGTGTTTAGTCCATGTGTCATGGATGAGTTCCTCTCTGGAGGTTCTAGAGAATAATCTCATTTTCTTGCCACATTACCTGTCTCTCTCCCATCTTCAGAGCTAGCAATGGCCAGTTGACCCTTTTGAAACTCAGGCAGAAAACTTGAGAAGAAAAGGAAGATATTTTTGTTTACTTACTTTTTTCCCCAATTTCTGTTTCATTTTTCCTGCATTCTTGAATTTCCGAAAATTCCTCTTCTGTCCTTTCTTTTCTGTTTAGAAAGGTCCGTCGAGCCATTTTTAAAAGATGAGTTTGTTGGAAACAAATTCTTTCAGATTTCATTCTTTTCTTTTTTCTGAGAATACCTAAATTTCCTTTTTATTATGAAAGGATAGTTTTACTGGACATAAACATCTGGTTTGCAAATTTCTCTTCCTCAGCACTTTAATTATTTGAGCTACATACTTCTTCTTTTTCTGGTTTCTGAATTAACTCTATGATTACTCATATTGTGTTTTCCCTATAACTATGGGAGGCTGAGGCAGGTGGATCACAAGGTCAGGTGTTTGAGACCAGCCCGACCAACATGGTGAAACCCCATCTCTACTAAAAATACAAAAATTAGCTGGGCATGGTGACTTGCAGCTGTAGTCCCAGCTACTTGGCAGGCTAAGCCAGGAGAATCGCTTGAACCCAGGAGGTGGAGATTGCAGTGAGCCGAGATCGTGCCATTGCACTCCAGCCTGGGTGACAGCGCAAGACTCTGTCTCAAAAAAAAAAAAAAAAAAAAAAAAAAAAAAAATGAGTACCACATTTTGTTTAGTGAATCAACAACAATAACATTTTAGTTTTAATACTGGATTCCTCATCACAACCAGAGCTTCCTGCTGGAGCTGGATCCATCATCCCCAAGGGGAGGGCACTGGAATGGGTCAGGTGCACAGGTCATGAAGGGAGCACAAATTCCAACCCACTCCTCAAGAGTCCAGTTGCCACTTCTAGATCTGTGTCCAAAAAACCCAGTTCTTCCTACAGCTGAGCTACGTGAGCCATCAGAGCAAAACCATGTATTTTTTTTTTTTAAGACAGAGTCTTGCTGTGTCGCCCAGGCTACAGTGCAGTGGCATGATCTTGGCTCACTGCAACCTCCCTCTCCTGGGTTGAAGTGATTCTCATGCCTCAGGATTTCAAGTAGCTTGGATTACAGGGGCCTGCCACCACGCCCAGCTAATTTTTAAATTTTTAGTTAGAGGCGGGGTTTCCCTATGATGGCCAGGCTGGTCTTGAACTCCTGACCCCGTGATCCGCCCGCCTCAGCCTTCCAAAATGGTAGGATTACAGGTGTGAGCCACCGTGCCTTGCCACAACCATGCATTTTTAAGCAAGACACAGTGATTGGACATCAGTGTGAGCCCAGACACAAACCTCCCTGTGGGGGTTCAGAGGACAGAAGAGCGTGCTGAGGACAAAAGCAGGCACTCAAGAACCAGCAGGGAAACCCAGGGGGCACTTGGCACTGCACGGGGGCTCAGGACCATTGTGGGGCTCAGGGGTCAGGCAGGCTCAAGGCACAGCATCACGGCAAGTGCGGTGGGCAGGGAAAGGCACTGATGATGGGGTTTTGTGTCACCTTCTCATTCCACCGGTAGACATGCTCCACTAGATCTATTCTAATGTGTATGAGTGTTTATGTGTTTGGAAAGTAATAGTTATATTATACATATATAGCCATCTATGGGTGCATCAAGTTACTCTCTTCAACTTATCTGGACCCTGTTCATTAGAAATAAGTCCCTGTATTTGAGGACCTCAGAAATTAATAATTATGTAGAATTGCTTTCTTTTTCAGTGTCCTTTCCTCCTTCTTTCTTTTCTCTCACACACTGACAAACACATGGGGTGCCATCACTTTAATTATCTGATGTATTAAAGAAAACGGATGCATTCGCACCTTGACCAGTTTAGCTGTTGTCCACGTTGTGACATGAAGAACGTGTTTCTCAGCTGTCTGCTGCTCTAAGCTGAGCAGCAGCTTTATTTGAAACACACAGAAGCAGAAAGCAATCCAAATATTAATCAGCACCTTTATTAGTAAATAAATTGTGGAAAAGTCATTTATTGGCAAACTATCCACTACTACGATCAATTAATGTTGGATAGGCTCAACCGCGTGGTTAAATTCACAAGTACTTACGACGAGTATAATGAGCCAAAGCACATCCGTATGACTCCATGTTATAAACTGTATAAAGTGAATGCTCATTGTAAGTACATAGAAAAGATCCCTAACTGACTTCTACATGTTAAGAGGAGGGAAGGTGAATTGCAGGAAGGGGAAATTGCAGGAGTTAAAGAGAAAATTGTGAGGCTAATTGATTTGTTTTTTCTGTGAATGATGATTCTGTCAATAATTGTCAAACGGTAAACATATTGTGTGAAGATTATTTGTCAATATTACCTCATTAAAACTATTACAAATAGAAGTGTATACTTTGGTAGAAAAAGATTAAGAGAGAAATAAAAATAATGCAAGGAAAGTCATGAACTCCTGAATACACACGTGCATTCACCCTCAGTTTTTCAATATTACTTAAACACTAAGATGTAGCCAAATAATACCATAATACCATTACAAGAAGAGTGTTATGTAAACCTCACTAAGACTTTCTAGAGTTAATTTAGGGAATGGTCAGATTCAGTCGTGAGAAGCGCAGCCCAAACACTGAGACTTACCAGATATGAGCGCTTAGACATGTCACGTGGCCCCTCCACACTTGGGGGTTTACATTTACAACTGTAAACGAAGGAAAATTTGACTTCCGCAGAACATACTTCATGTGCATCTAAAAGTAGAAATGCAAGTGAGAATTAATTATTTATGAATGATAATCACTCACATCCACTCTGGGACACAGCTTACTCTGAGGTACCTGTTCTAGAACTCATTATACAGCAGGAGACTCGAAAATAGGGCCGTCCCTCTGCTGATGAAAACCAGCCCAGCCCTGACTCTGCAGCTCTGGGAGAGGAGCCCCAGCCCTGGGATTCCAAGGCATTTCCACTTGGTGATCAACACTGAACACAGAAGACTCACCGTGGAGTTTGGGCTGTGCTGGGTTTTCCTTGTTGCTATTTTAAAAGGTGATTCATGGGGAAGTAGAGAGATTGAGTGTGAGGGGCATGAGTCAGAGAAACAGTGAATATGTGTGGCAGTTTTTGACCAGGATATCTCTGTTTTCAGGTGTCTTGTGTGAGGTGCAGCTGGTGAAGTCTGGGGGAGGCGTGGTCCAGCCTGGGGGGTTCCCTGAGACTCACCTTTGATGATTATGCCATGCACTGGGTCCGCCAAGCTCCAGGGAAGGGTCCGGAGTGGGTCTGCTATTAGTTGGGGTGGTGGTAGCACATGATATCCAGACTCTGTGAGGGGTTGATTCACCATCTCCAAAGACAACAGCAAAAACTCCGTGTATCTGCAAATGAAACAGTCTGAGAGCTGAGGACACAGCCTTGTATTACTATGCCAAAGATACACAGTGAGGGGAAGTCAGTGAGAGCCCAGACAAAAATCTCCCTGTAGAAAGACAGGAGGCGCCTGGGCTGCAGAGGGCGCTCAGGACACACGGAACACAGGGTTAGCTCTGGGACAAGTTGCGCAGAGAGGTTAAGGGCTGGTTACTTCACAGTCTTAGCAATTTCTCCATCTAACAGTTTATCCAGGAACCCTGTCTAGATCTGTGATCTGGATCTGCTCACACTGTCTATGTCGCCTTCCTCACCTGTGACTTTGGGGGAGCTGATCGTGGACACTCCAGTGTGTGGAGACTTCTTGGTGACAGCAATTGTGTGTTCTGTCTAGGCATGTCTAGGGCTGGCAATCAGGAAGGACAGGCTGAAATTTTTGGAAAGAGGTGCAGCTGCCATCCACCAGGGAATTTTGTTGTCTTCTGTTCTGCTAGAATTAAATCAGGCACACCCAGGTTAACTAGTAGTACTATCTCCCTAGCTTGAGAAAATTGATGGCAGCTTCAATAACACCTGTATTAAACTAGCAGAGCCACATCTAGATTAGTGTCTGACTTAATAATTGAGACTGTGGTCTAACCAAGGAGACACATAAAACTGATGATTGCCATGCTTATTTCGTATTTTGTATTTGTCAAGAGAATCTAGCTGGTATTATAAACAGCTTTGCCAACATATGTGTGTTAGTGTTGGTCTTCGGAGAAGCAAATTCTATGACTGGATTAAGTTTGTGTACAGTTTCCTAAAGACCCTGTTCACAGTTTTGAGAGAAAATGCAGAGGGGGTGGAAGGAGGCTGGAAAAGCTGAAGGCATGTGATGGAAGTTGGTCCCTGAGTAAAGGAGAGTGAGGAGGACTGGGTGGAACTTCCTTAAACTTCTGTGTTGTTCTAGGAAGGTCCAGTAAGTGAGTCAGAGTCATATCAAAGTTTCCCATCGGGATCCCCCATGACTCCCAGCAGTGGCTCTGCTCAGATCAGCTCAGAGCTCGTTCTTCTCCTGAGAGTGGCGCACAGGACGTGGCTCCAGCACCAGCAGAGGCATGGACGTCAGAGAGCAGCCCTGGGCACCTGGCTTAGGTGCATTGTGCTCCCTGCAGGTGGAGGGAGGGAGGTGTTGACTCAGGGCCCACACGCTGTGGGTTCTAACAGAACCTACACTTTTATTTCATTTCTGTGGGTGACATAGAAACAAACATAGGGTCTGTAAACAAGAGTCCTTCCTACATTTACCCCAATTGCTTTATTCCTTGATTCTGCACAATGTCCTGGCGCATAGTTGCCTTTCTCATGTGGAATTGTGACGTGTTGAGGACGTATGTTTCCCACTTTCATTGTTTTCCTCCATGTACAGATTTTGAGTAGAGTGCAGCTGACCTTCCTTCCACACTGTTCCTCTCTTCCCCACAGGAAGAGCAGATAATGGCCCAGCACCGTGGCTCATGCCTATAGTCCCAGCACCTTGGGAGTCCGAGGCTGGCGGATCAAGAGGTCAGGAGATCAAGACCATCCTAGCCAACATGGTGAAACCCCTTCTGTATTAAAAGTACAAAAAAAAAAAAAAGAAAGAAAGAAAAGAAAAGAAAAAGAAAATTAGCTGGGTGTGGTGGCGTGTGCCTGTAACCTCAGCTACTTGGAAGTCTGAGGCAGGAGAATCGCTTGAATCCAGGAGGTGAGGGTTGCAGTGAGCCGAGATCCAGCCTGGAGACAGAGCGAGACTCCGTCAAAAAAAAAAAAAAGAAGATAATTGCCTGAGGCTGAATCTGAGGTGGGATCTGTCCTGTACACTTCAGAGCCTGCAGAGACCTCCAGTTGCAGATTTATGGGGGCAGGTGTTTGTGCATGTGGAAACCTCAAGCTGCTCTTTTGTCAGTGAATGCTGCTTAGAACTAATTGTGGGGTTCAGAATTAGGACCACCATTGATCTGTCACACCTCAGTTCATTCTGCCACTCACAGTCCTCAGAAATTCAGGAAATGGTTGAATTTACATTTTTGTGACAAATTTTTCTCTTTTCACTTAGTTGTAAGTTTGGTTAGCAGCAAGTGCTACCATTTATGGGTCTCAACCTGATGAAGCTCATTTGCTTCACCACAAGTTAGGAGGCCCCTAAAGCTTCTCCTAAGCCCCTCCCTCTGCACTTCATGTGAAATTCAGTTTTACCTGGAATTCTAGTGTGTTGGTTTAGTCAGATTTCCCCATACTCCATGTCTGATTTTCCTGGATCTCTGAGCAGTTTCCTTGTCCTTCGCCATAACCTGGGTGACGTCCGATCACCCTGGCCCAGTGTCAACAAAAATCCTGGCAGGTTGCTTTAAGAAGGATTCACCAGGCTCCTGAGGTCTCGTGACTGTACTGTTATCAGTCTTCTTCCTTAGGTCTAACAGTATTTGTTTTATGAACATGGATTCTCTGGTGTGTACTGCATATATATATTTAGGATTGATGTTTTCTAATCAATCCTTTCATCTTTTTATTCTTCCTATTGAGTTTACATAGTCTGAGGAGTATAGGTCTTGTATAATGTTTGTCTTCCAATGACTTGTCCTGGAGATTTTAGACCCTCTTTTGTCTGCCTGTGCAAGGCTGGAAATGTTTTCCTGAATTATTTCATCGAATTGGTTTTCTAAAGATTTTCACTCCCTTTCTCCCTCAGAAATATCTATTATTTATTGGTTCAGTTATCTGGCATGATTCTATACTTCCTAATCATTTTGTTCGTTATTTCCCTTTATTTTTATCTAACTTGGTTAATTTGGAATATTTGTCTGTATGGTTTGATGTTCTTTCTTCTCCTTAGTGTAGTCCACTGTTAAAGTTTTCACTATATTTTGTAATTAATTTAATGAAGTCTTTATTCCCTGAAGATTGTTATTTAAAAGTCAAACTCATAAGTAAATTTTGAATTATTCTGAATTGTGTTGGTTCTTGACTTTCTTTTTGATTTTATTCAGCTTCTTTAAAATCAACATTTCAAATTATTTGTTTGACATTTAAAATATATCATTTTGTTTAGATGCTATTGTTGAGGAGTTAATGTGGAGTGTGTTGAAAGTTTCTTTTTAACCATACTTCCAGAATTGTTTATCTGTGTTCTTTTCGTTGACTAAACTGTCTCTTCTATTTTTAATTTATTTTCATTTTGATGAAAATTTTATTCCCTTAAGAATGTAAATATCATGTATATTTTGTAGGAGTTTTGATGTTGACATTGGTTCTTGGTTTTCTCAGTGGCAAAGACTCTGTATGAATTCCTTGGTTACATTAGATGGCCTTTATTTAGTGGCTTTCTGAAATGATTGTTGTAGTAACAATGTAGTGAGCACGAGAGCAGGCTCATTGCATCTCGCAGGTCCTAGATAGTGGGGGCCTCAGAAATCTTTTCTTATTTCCAAGTAGTATGCAACACTGTCATAAGATGCTGCTGAGGTTGCGGGAAAAAGGGAACACTTACACACTTCTAGTGAGAATGTAAACTAGTTCAACCACTGTGGAAAGCAGTGTGGTGATCCCTCAAAACAACTTAAAACAGAACTTCCATTTGACCCAACAATCCCACTAGTGGGCATATACCCAAAGGAATGTAGATATGTAGGTTCCTTGCAGTGCTAGTCACAGTAGCAGAGACATGAAATTTACCTAAATGCCCATCACTGGTAGACAGGATTTTTTTAAAAAGTGGCAAGTGTACAGCATGGAATCCTATGCAGCTATAAGAACAATGAGATAATGTCCTTTGTAGGAACATGATGGAACTGGAGGTCATTGCTTTTAGCAAACCAAGGCAGAAATAGAACATTAGATACTATATGTTCTCACTTATACATGGGAGATAAATGAGAATTTCCTCTCAGATCCTGAGTCTTTGTTTTCAAAAAATGATTCTGAAATAAGTGTTCAACAAGTTGCTGATATGCCTTTATTTATTATTTTTCCATAAGTCATTGGGGTATAGGTGATCTTTGGTTACATGAGTAAGTTATTTAGTGGTGATTTGTGAGATGTTGGTGCATCCATCACCCAAGGAGCATACACTGCACCATATTTATAGTCTTTAATCCATCGCTTCCCTCCCACTCTTCCGCCAAGTTCCCAAAATCCATTGTATCATTCTTATGCCTTTGCATCCTCATAGCTTAGCTGCCACATATCAGTGAGAGCATACGACATTTGGTTTTCCGTTTTTGAGTTACTTCACTTAGAATAATAGTCTCCAATCTCATTCAGTTCACTGTAAATGCTGTTAATTCATTTTTATGGCTGCAGAGTAGTCCATTGTGTGTGTGTATGTATATGTATATATATGTGTACATGTATATATATACCCATATGTATATACACATATGTGTATATATGTGTACATGTATATATGCACCCATATGTATATATACATATCTATATACACATTTGTGTATATATGTACATGTATATATACAACCATATGTATATAGATATATATACATGTATATTCTTTATATATATATACACGCATACATATTTATATACATGTGTGTGTATATATATATATATATCATGGAGTCAACCGAAATGCCCATCAATTAATGAGTGGATAAAAAAATCTTTGAGATATATATATATATACATGTACATATATGCATATAAACACACATATATACATATATGTATATATAAAATCAACATATATGTTGATACCCATATATACCTATGGGTGTATACATATATATATACACCCATAGGTATATAAATATATATATACACATGTATATACTTTGTATATATATATATATACATATATATGCATGTGTGTGTATATACATATATATATATATATGTATCCATATCGTGGAACCAACAGAAATGCCCATCAATCAATGAGTGGATAAAAAAACTTTGATATATGTGTACATGTATACATACATATCTGTGTATGTATATCTGTGTATGTATATATATGGGTACTCCACAGGTACCCATATCTGTGTATGTATATACATCCTCTCCAGCCTCTGTTGTCTCCAGATTTTGTAATGATTGCCCTTCTAACTGGCATGAGGTGACATCTCAATGTGGTTTTGCTTTGCATTTCTCTAATGACCAGTGACGATGAGCATTTTTTCATATGTTTGTTGGCCACATAAATGCTTCTTTTGAAAAGTGTCTGTTCATATTATTCATCCACTTTTTAATGGACTTGTTTTTTCTTGTAAATTTGTTTAAGTTCTTTGTAGATTCTGGATATTAGCCCTTTGTCAGATGGGTAGATTGCAAAATTTTTTTCCCATGAATGCTCATAGGGCTTGTTCTTAATTGGAAAAGTGTTGTCCACAGGAAGCTTAGAAATGGGGCAGGGGATGTATCTCTTCAAGCAGGATTAGGGCTTGGTATCTCAGGATCCCACTCTTGTGTAGCTGATGTGGCATTTGTGTTTTCTTTTTCATCCTAAATCAGGCTATAAGCTGTGAAATACCCTGCCTAATGAATATGCAAATAGATACCCGAGGTCTCCTGAGATAAACATAGATATGTTGGTGCCCTGAGAGCATCACCCAACAACTGCATCCCTTTTCTAGAGAAAACCCTGGGAGCGCAGCTCCTCATTATGGACTGGACCTGGAGGATCCTCTTTTTAGTGGCAGCAGTTACAGGTAAGAGCATTCTTAGTTCCAGAGTTGAGGAGGAATCCTGTTTCAGTCAGAGGATTTTATCCACTTCTGTGTCCTCTCCACAGGTACCCAGTTCCAGGTACAGCTGGTGCAGTCTGGGGCTGAGGTGAGGAAGCCTGGGTCCTCAGCGAGGGTCTCCTGCAAGGCTTCTGGATACACTTTCACCAGCTACTATATGCACTGAGTGCACCAGGCCCTTGGACAAGGGCTTGAGAGGATGATATTGATCAACCCTAGCAACGGTAACACAAACTACGCACAGAAGTTCCAGGGCAGAGTCACTATTACCAGGGACACATCACGAGCACAGCCTACACGGAGCTGAGCAGCCTGAGAGCTGAGGACATGGCCATGTATTACTGTGCGAGAGACACAGTGTGAAAACCCACATCCTAAGAGTACCAGAAACCCTGAGGGAGGAGGCAGATGTGCTGGGCTGAGGAGATGACAGGGATTATCAGATTGAAGACTTTCTTAGAAAATGAGGTTAATACATTTAAGGAAAAGAACAATGGAGCTATTTATGCACTCTAATTATTTGGGAAATATTCCATAAAACAGTCTTTCTGTAAACAAAATTTAGGGAGTGGAAAATAAATTAGTAAAATGGATATAAGAATGCTCTGAAATTATTACTGAACATCAGTTTTTGAATCAGTGTTGTAAATGTTTTGGAATACAGCTGCCAGATTACATTTTAATTACTTTTATCTTCATTATATAAAGTGTCAAAATATGTCAATGTTTTCAATTTTGTGCTATTACGATATGGGGTTTATGCCAGGAATGCGTGATAGGCTTTGTTCTTCTACATCTCATTCCCATTTCCATTATGAGTATTGCGTCTGTTAACTATTCTAGATCAGTCATGTTATTTCATTGTTGTTTAAATGCACATACCCCTAGTTAAAATTTCATTCTAATTATATTTATATCATTTTGATGAAGTGTCTGTTCTGATTTTGGCTCATTTTATTGCACCGTTTTCTTATGATCAGATGTAAGTTTTATACACACTCATTATGAAAGTCATTTACCAGAGCAGGGTGTGGTGGCTCATGCCTATAATCCCAGAACTTTGGGAGGCCAAGGCAGGTGGATCAGGGGGTCAGCAGTTCAAGGCCATGATGGTGAAACCCCATCTCTACCAAAAATACAAAAATTAGCTGGGCGTGGTGGTGGGCACCTGTAATCCCAGCTACTCTGTAGGCTGAGACAGAGAATTGCTTGAACCCAGGAGGTGGAGGTTGCAGTGAGCCAGCATCACGCCATTGCACTCCAGCCTGGGAAACAGCAAGACTCTGTCTCAAAAAAAAAGGTCATTTACCAGGGTAACTAAAAGTCATTTAGCAAATATGTAATTTGCAAGTGGATTTTCCAAATCTGTAGTTGTCTTTTCACTCTTATCAGTGTAACAAAAATTACATATGTATGTGTGTGTATAAACTTGAATACAACAGTTTTATTTTTTCAAAAATCATAATTTTGGCATTAAGTCTAAACACTAATCATAAAATCTGTTAACACAGAATGTTTCTTTTGTCTCTAATCTCAAGCCACAATCACAGCATGAGTATTTAAATTTCACCTACTTCAAGGAAAGATTATTAACTTAAGACATTTGGAATTTTTCTGCATAGAAAGTGTCTTTTCCATTTTTTAAATTTAGTAAACTGTTAGTATAGTTTCTGGATGTTTATTTTATATTCTGGAGAAGATCCAAGGCTACATTATGCATTTTACTGCTCAAATCACCACAGGTTTTTGGGTACTAGGAGCTCACTTAGTTTAGATTCTGTATCCTTACAGCGTACCCCATTGGTTTGCTTTTGATCATGTCCCTGTTTCCTGGTATGAGAAATTCTAAGCTCATTGTTTTCTGTTATAGTTTTCACATACAGAATCAGTTATTTCTCTAAGGATTTCTGGTCCTGGTATTAAATAGTTATATTAAAATACAGAATTGTGACATTGGCTGTGTGTGCTGTTAATGTGGTGTCAGTGTTTCTAGGCTCTCTAATCTAACAGGCCTAGAAAGTGTGCCTGTGTATATTAACCCATATTTGCAGGCAAACGAAACTATTTATGTACCTAATCTTCTGTACTTCATTACATCAGACTTTAGAACACACTGGCACTGCACTCTATTATAATGCCAGATGAATGCTCCCAGCCTTCCTCTTTGTCTGTTCATAACCACCAACTGCAAAATGAGGAACCTCCTCTGTTCTGTATGTATTATTTCCTGTAAAATGTAACATCAAAACCTGCACAGTGGCTCATGCCGGTAATCCCTGCACTTTGGGAGGTCGAGGCAGATGGATCACGAGGTCAGGAGATCAAGACCATCCTGGCTAAGATGGTGAAACCTCGTGTCTACTAAAAATACAAAAAATTATCCAGGCATGGTGGCACGTGCCCGTATTCCAGCTACGTGGGAGGCTGAGGCAGGAGAATTGCTTGAACCTGGGAGGTGGAGGTTGCAGTAAGCCTAGAATATGCTACTGTACTCCAGCCCAGGTGACAGAGCGAGACTCCATCTAAACAACAAAAAACAAACTTGCATTAAATATATATTGGGAAAATAAGTAAAATTAAATAAGATAGTGACTTTTTAATTGTTAATGCACTATTACATAATTTAAAATTGTTTTCCTGAAGGATAGTGTTCCTACTCATCTCACCTAGGACCTTCTCTGGGACTTGCCCTCTCCTCAGACATCCCATCCCAGAGCTTGCTGTGTAGTAGGAGAATTGCAATTAGGCCCCCTTTCCTGCTGATGAAAACCAGTTCGGACCTAACCCTGCAGCTCTGGGAGAGGAGCCCCAGTCCTGGCATTCCTGTGTATTTCTATTTGGTGTTCAGAACTGCCCACAAATGATTCACCTTTGAGTTTTGGTTTAGTTGTGTTTTTCTTGTTACTATTTTAAAAGTCAATTCCTGGAGACCTGAAGATATTTAGTCTGCATGGATATGAGTGAGAGAAGCAGTCGATATGTGTGTCAGTTTCTGATCACTGCGTGTCTGTGTTTGCATGTGTCCAGTGTGAGCTGCAGCTGGTGGAGTCTGAAGGAGGCTTGATGAAACCTGGGATGACTCTGAGACTAGCCTGTGGAGCCTTTGGATTCACTTTTAATAGCTACTACATACACTGGGTCAGCCAGGCTCTGGGGAAGGGCCTGGAGTGGGTCTCATGAATTTGTAATGATGGAACTAGCACATACTATGCAGATGCCATGAAGGGCTGCTTCACTATCTCCAGAGACAATTCCAAGAACTTCCTTTATCTGCAAATAAACAGTGGAAGACCTGAGGACACTGCTGTATATTACTGTGCTAGAGACAAAGAGAGGGGAGCTCAGCATGAGCCCAGAAATAAACCTTCCTGCAAGAACACCTATAGGAAATCAGCTGCAGGGGACACTCAGAACCCACAGATAAGAGTCAACCCTAGAGACAAGAGCAGATGGAGGTTAAGGTTGTGTTTTGTTTTATTGTTTGGAACTTCCTCTGCATCTGACAGTTTCCCCAGAGCATCTCCCTAATTTCAGAGTTCTGTAATTATCAATGTCATTTTCAATTTTTGTAATCATTGTAATCGATATGGTTTATCTCTGTGCCACCAAACAAATGCCATCTTGAATTGTACTCCTATCATTTCCGAGTGTGGTGGGAGGGACCAGTGGATGACAATTGAATCATGGGGGCATATCCTATCCATGCTGTTCTTGTGATAGTAAATAAGTCTCATGAGATCTGATTTTTTTTAATGAAAAAGGATTTTCTCTGCACAAGCTGTCTTTTGTCTGCCACCATGTGAAACATGGCTTTAACCTTCTGCCATGATTGTGAGGCTTCCCAAGTCATGTGGAACGGTAAGTCAACTAAATCTGTTTCTTTTGTAAAGTTTCCAGTCTGCTCTATGTTTTTATCAGCAGTGTGAGTATGGACTAATACAGTAAATTGGTACCAGGAGTGAGGTGCTACTGAAAAAATGCTAAAAAATGTGGATGCAACTTTGGTACTGGGTAACAGGGAGAGTTATCCAGTTCTCTGGAACAGTCTGAAGGGCTCAGAAAAAGACAAGAAAATGCGGGACAATTTTGAACTTCCTAGAGACTTGTTGAATGGCATTGATCAAAATGCTGATAATGATATGGACGATGAAATCCAGGCTGTGGTGGTCTCAGATGGAGATGATAAACTTGCTGGCAACTGGAGCAAAGGTTACTCCCGTTATGCTTTAGCAAAGATACTGGTGGCATTTTGCTTTTGCCCTAAATATCTGTGGAACTTTGAACATGAGGGAGATGATTTAAGGTATCTGGCAGGAGAAATTTCTAAGCAAGAAAAGTTTCAAGAGTTGACTTGTGTGCTGTTAGAGGCATTCAGTTTTATAATGGAAGCAGAGCATAAATGGTAGGAAAAATTGCAACCTGACAATGCAATAGAAAAGAAAATACCATTTTCTGAAGAGAAATTCAAGCTGGTTGCAAAAATTTGCCTAAATAATGAGGAGCCAAATGTTAATCCTCAAAGAAAATGGGAAAATGTTTCTGGAGCATGTCAGAAGTCTTTACCACAGCCCCTCTCATCATAGGTGCAGTGACCTAAGAGGAAAAAGTAGTATTGTTGGGCAGGCCTATGTTCCCCAGGCTGTGTGCAGCCTAGGGACCTAGTGCCCTATGTCCCAGCTGCACCAGTTGTGGCTGAAAGGGGCCAGTGTAGAACTCGAGCCATGGCTTCAGAGGGTGCAAGCCTCAATCTTTGGCAGCTTCGTTGTGGAATTGAGACTGCCAGTGCTCAGAAGTCAAGAATTTAGCCTAGATCTCAGAGGATGTATATGGAAATGCCAGAATGCCCAAGCAGAAGTTTGCTGCAGGGGTGGGGCTCTCATGGAAAACCTCTGATAGGGCAGTAGGGAAGGGAAATGTGGGATGGGAGCCCCGACACAGAGTCCCTACTGGGGCACCACCCACTGGAGTTGTGAGAAGAGGGCCACCATCCTCCCCACCCCAGAATGGTAGCTCTTCCAAGAACTTGCAGTTTACACCTGCAAAGCTGCAGACACTCAATGCCAGCCCATGAGAGCAACCAGTAGAAGGGATATACTCTGCAAAACCACAGGGGCAGAGCTGTGCAAGGCCATGGGAGCACACCTCTTGCATCAGCATGATTGGTTGAAATTCCTCAGAATCATACAACAGATTTCCATACAGATATGGGTATGTAGCTAAGGATGTAATGACCATTCCATTTTACCTAGAATAGAAATACCTGTTTTACTTCATTCATGTTTTGTCCTTAAATAGCCCTTGGATAATTCCTTGCATTATGTTTACTCTTTAGATGAAGATTCAAAAGCTCAATGTGAGTGACTGACATTTTCAGTCACATAGCTCATAAATATTAGTCTCCTAATATTTTATTAAATTTATTATTGAGTAATTATTATTTTTTTTTGGGAGGAAGGGAGGAAGGCAGGAAGGGAGGGAAGGAGGAAGGGAGGGAGGAAGGAACAGATGAAGGAAGGAAGGAAGAGAGGAAGGGGGGAGGGAGGGAGGTAGGGAGGGAGGGAAGGGAAGGAAGGAAATCAAGCAGTGAGAGAGAAATTGCCAACCTGGATCTAGAGATTTACAAGTTGATTTCTTTTTTTTTTTTTCTTTTTATTGAGAGAAGGAAAGAAAAAAATGAGTAAAGGAGAGGAAGAAAGAGGAAGAGAAAGAGGGAGGGTGAATGGAAATATTGCTTTATTCTGAAAAAAAAGTATTAATAATGGCCAACCAATGTTTCATTTAAACTTATGAGTAGGTGTGATGTTGTATTGACAAGAATGTATATTTTGTATATTTGAAGTGGAGAGCTCTATAAATATTTATTAAGTTTACTTGTTCCAGATCTGAGATCGAGTCCTTGATATCCTTATTAATTTTGTGTCTCATTGAATCTAAGTCTCTATGTATCTGGGTGTTAGGATCGTTAGCTCTTGTTGTTGCATTGATCCTTTTACCACTATATCTTTGTTGCTTTAATATCTATTTTATCCGACACGAGGATTGCAACTCCTGCTTTTTATTTATTTATTTATTTATTTATTTATTTTTGCTCTCCATTTGGTTGGTAAATCTTTCTCCATCCCTTTGTTTTGAGTCTTTGTGTATCCTTGCCTGTGAAACAGGTCTGGATGTAACATGCCGTTGGGTTTTGGCTGTGTCTTATGATTGGGGGATTTAGTCGATTTGAATTTAGGATTACTGCCATTTGATGTTGAATGGCTGTTTTATCCATTCGTAGGTGTAAATTCTTCTTTATGTTGGTGCTCTTTACTTTTTGGTATAATTTTAGAAAGGCTAATACTGGTTGTTTCTTTCTGTGTGTAATGCTTCTTTCAGAAGCTCTTGTAAAGCAGGCCTGGTGGTAATAACATCTCTGAGTACTTACTTGTTCATAAAAGATTTTATTTTTCCTTTAGTTGTGAAGCTTAGTTTGGCTGGATATGAAATTCTGGGCTGAAGGTTCTGTTCTTTGAGGATGTTGAATATTGGCCCTCACTCTCTTCTGGCTTGTAGAGTTTCTGCTGAGAGATCTGCTGTAAGTCTGATAGGCTTGCCGTTGTGGGTAACCTGACCTTTCTCTCTGGCTGCCCTTAGTATTTTCTCCTTCGTTTCAACCCTGGTGAATCTAATGATTATGTGCCTTGGGATTGCTCTTCTTGAGGAATATCTTTGTGGTGTTCTCTGTATTACCTGGGGTTGAATATTGACCTGCTTTGCTAGTTTAGGAAAATTTTCCTGAATAATATCCTGAAGGGTATTTTCCAGCTTGGATTCATTCTCTCCGTCACATTCAGGTACACCTATCAAACGTAAATTTAGTCTTTTCACATAGTCCCACATTTCTGGGAGACTTTGCTCATTCCTTTTTATCCTTTTTTCTCTGATCTTATCTTCTTGTTTTATTTCATTAAGTTGGACTTTGACCTCTGATATCCCTTCTTCTGCTTGAACAATTCGAGTGTTTAAACCTGTGCATACTTCTCGGAGTTCCTGTATTGTATTCTTCAGTTCCATTAATTCACTTATATTCCTCTCTAAGTTGTCTATTCTCAATAGGATTTCATCAAACCTTTTTTCAAAGTTCTTAGTTTCTTTACATTGGGCTACAACATGTTCTTTTAACTCACAGAAGTTTCTTATTATCCATTCCCTGAAGTGTGATTCTGTTATTGGGATGTGCTCGTTCTCCCTCAAGCCTTGTTCCATTGTTGATGTGGAACTGTGATCATCTTTAGAGGGAGAGGCGTTCTGATTTTGAGTATTCTCAGCGTTTTTACACTGGTTTCTTCCCATCATTGTAAATTTATCCTCCTGTCGTCTTTGAAATTACCAACTTTCAGATTAGGTCTCTTGAGTGGACGTCCAAGTGGTTAGTTCCCAGGGCCAGAACAGCGGCGTTAAGACTGATGGTGCTTTTCTTCCCAGTATTCTCCTGTCTGGCTTCCTTCTTGTGTTCGTAATAGGCGACTCTGCCTTCCCGGGGCTCCAAACCTCGGTTCGAAGGGGGGAACCAGTCTCCTTTACTCTGCACCGAGAGCTGCCGCGCCGAGATGCCGGTGAAACCGCTGCGCCGGCCACAAGAGTCGTGCTGGCGACCTGTGTGACTCCTCCACTGGGGATCTTCTGCTCCGTGAGCAACCAGAATTTGTCTGAAAGTGTGGCGCCTCTAGTTCTCTGCGCTTTCACTGAGAGCTGCAATCCTGAGATGTTAGCGATCAGCCATCTTGGATCGTTCCCCCGACTCTGTTTTGAGTAATTATTTTTTAAAGCATTGTGAAGGTAATTGCATGCCTGATTTTTCTTCCCATCGATTGCATTGTTGTTATATAGAAATGCGGGTGAAGGGGAGGAAGGCAGCAAAACACACTGCCATGTGTGTACCTATGCAACTATCTTGCATGTTCTGCACATGTACCCCAAAACCTAAAATGCAATAAAAAAAATAAAAGAAATGCTACTAATTTTTGTATGTTGATAATTTATCCTTTCAGTGTTACTGAATTTGTTTTTTAGTTCTAAGAGTTTTTTGGTGGAGTTTCGATTTTTCTTCATTTATGTTAACAATCATCGTTTTTAACTTCTAAGTTCAGGGGTACAAGTGCACGTTTATTACATAGGTAAACTTCTATCTGGGAGTTTGTTGTGCAGATTCTTTGATCACCCAGGTATTAAGCCTAGTACCATTAGCTATTTTCCTTGATCCTCTTTCTAGTCTCACCCACCACTGTCCAAAAGGCCTAGTATGTGTTTCTAAATATAAGACTATGACACAAAAAAATTCCATGCTCATGAATGGGAAGACTCAATATCATAAAAATGGCCATACTGCCCAAAGCAATTCATAGATTCAATGCTATTCCCATTAAGCTACCATTGACTTTCTTCGCAGAATTAGAGAAACTAATTTAAGTTTTATATGGAACAAAAAAAGGCCTGACAATCAGCAGCAGAAAGAACAAGGCTGGAGGTATTATGCTACCTGATTTCGTACTATCCTACAAGGCTACAGTAACTAAAACAGCATGGTATTGGAAGAAAAACAGATGTATAGACCCATAGAATGGAAAAGAATCCTCAGAAATAACACCACATATCTACAACCATCTGATCTTCAATAAACTTGACAAAAACAAGTGATGGGGAATGGATTCCCTATAATAGACGGCACTGAGAAAAGTGGTAGCCATATGCAGAAAACGGAAACTGTGAAGACTCTAAGAGCACTGATAGTGTCCCTTACACTTTAGACAAAAATTAACTCAAGGTGGATTACAGACTAAAACGTGAGACCTAACACCATAGAAAATGGAGACAGTAATAAAGTGACTGGTACTTAACAAGATTGTTCTGCAGTTATATGGCACACAATCGGTGCTTGGCAAACCTTTTCTATTACATCGGTCATGCTACAATAGGCTTGTGGAATACGCGTGCACTAATGTAATTGTGAGAGATACGTTTATGAAGACTCAGCTTTATGTCAAAATATGAGAACCACTATCATAATAGCGTAGCCAGGATTTTTAGAAACATCTAAGCAAAGTGTGCTTCTTAGAGACAATTGTGCTGAATTGTTAAGTATATCATCACATTGCTTAGTTGATTCAGTGGGCGCTATTGTTCCAACAGAGGCCCTCCTCTCAGACCACAGGGACTCAATCCAGTTCACTCACCATCAGCAGAAGTTTATCCACTCTGTCTATGTTCATCTTCTGGGCCAACCAGTCTTTATTCTAGACAAACCGGTGCATTGCAAAGTCAAAGAAAATTCTTTCTGCCCATGGGTAGAACTCCCCACTCTTTGAGAAAGAAAGACATATGTGGGTGTGAAAAAAACTGAGGTGTGAACTTCACAGAATCTTACTAAAAGGAAAATTAGGAAACTTAGAGGATATCCAGGAAGAAAGTACTGTCTAATTTCTATTATTAAAAGATCACACTGACTATTGTGAGGAGAAATGATGTGGAATGTGTTGGAAACAGTGAAGTTACCAAGGCCAGCTAGGGGCTCTTACAGTCCTCCAGGAGAGAGGGTCGTGCCTCAGTCAGAGGCCTGTATTAGAGATTATGCAAGGGGTCACATTGGGATATATTTTGAGGTGGAGTCCACTGTATTTGCTTATATACAATCCTTGGTGGGGAGTGAAAAGTAAAAAGTGACCCTGTATTCTTGAAAACTCTGTAAAAAATGTTATTGTCTTAGAAAAGATTAGGGGGTATCATGGGATACATTCTTTTTACCCAAATTTATATTTTGAAGTTTTATCCCTGTACCTCAAAATATGATTGTGTTTCAAAACAGGGTCATTTTTAGAGGTAATTAAATTAAAATCAGGCTATTAAGATGGTCCTAATCTAATCAGACTTGTGTTTTTTATTTTTTATTTTTTATTGGATTATAGGTTTTGGGGTACATGAGCAGAGCATGCAAGACAGTTGCGTAGGTACACACATGGCAGTGTGCTTTGCTTTTCTTCTCCCCTTCACCCACATTTGGCATTTCTCCCCAGGCTATCCCTCCCCACCTCCCCCTCCCACTGGCCCTCCCCTTTTCCCCCCAATAGACCCCAGTGTTTAGTACTCCCCTTTCTGTGTCCATGTGTTCTCATTTTTCATCACCCGCCTATGAGTGAGAATATGCGGTGTTTCATTTTCTGTTCTTGTGTCAGTTTGCTGAGGATGATGTTCTCCAGATTCATCCATGTGTTCTTATAAGAAAGGAACTTTTGGCCACAAAGCGGGACACCAGGGGTGCGTGTGTACAGAGGAACTTGCATATGCAGGCAAAGCAAAAAAATAGCCACCTGAAGCCAAGAAGAGACGTCTTAGAAGAACGGAATCTTTCAACAACTGGATTGTGGACTGTGAGCCTCCAGAACCGTGAGAAAATAAACTTCTGTTGTTTA